CCTTAAACAAAGGCACAACATTAGCCACTCTCCTATCATCCAGCACCTCACCCTTAGTTATAGATAAAAATATTTCTGCACATGGCCCCACAATTTCCTCCCTAATTTCCTACAACATCCTAGGACACACTAGATCAGGTCCTGGAGATTTACCCACCTTCATATTTTCTAAGACTTCCCACACTTCCTCTTCTGTAAAATGTGAACTGTTTTCAAAGCATCAATATTTATTTTCCCAAATTCTCTAGCCTCAATTTCTTTCTCCACGATAAAAACTGAAGTGAAATATTCAATTAATATCTCTCCCATCCCCTGAGGTTCAACACAAAGACGACTGCTTTGATCTTTAAAGGGTCCTACACTCTCTCTTTCGTTGCTGTTTTGCTCTTAAATGTTTTCATACTTGAATGAGTAGTGATTTTTTTAATACATTATTTCTAGTGTGCTGGCCTCCTTAAATCTGCCAGCTGCCATAGAGGATGTTTCTGGGGACAACATTCCTCAATCTATCTTGGAGAAGTCCAAAGCAGTCATTCAGCAAGGTGGCCTACAGACTATAGATCAACTTATCAGAGATCTTCCTGGACTTCTGCAAAGAAACAGAGAAATTCTTGATGAGGTAACTAATTCTCTTCCTATATCTTGCTCTGCTTAATATTTTTGTGCTTCTTTTTCAAATGCATTAATTTTTTCTTCAAATCTTAAACGGCATTTATAAGACAGGCACTTGGGAAATATAGTATCTTATTAGCTGGTGTGACTGAACATTTTTTTAAAGTTTTCTTCTGAATTAAATGAGTTTGTATTGCAGGAATTTGAAGATTTAGTGTGGTTAAATGAATTTAATTATTTAATTACTTTGTAACTTGTGCAACTGTATGTTTAACATAATTAAAATGGGTTAATTATCCATTTATAATTGCAGACAAAGTAATCTTGTTTTCTTTCTAAAAGTAATATGTAGCCTTTTGTACCTAATGCAATAGTATTACATTTTCATGTGAATTCTTTTTAGGCGATGAAAATACTTGATCAAGAGGAAGTCACAGATAATGAACTGAAAGCAAAATTCAAAGAACGTTGGCAAAGAACACCTTCAAATGAATTGTACAAACCCTTAAGAACAGGTGAAAACTAACTCAGATTTCATTTGTAAAATTTTAATTTGTTCCAGTGTGTCAGTAACCATGTCTTAAATTTACTGCCACAATTTCTGAGGAGTTTAGCTGCTGAAGCTGGAGAATTGACCCTGGTCTTCTGATATGGGAGGAGGCCTCTGACTCAGCTTCTTTTGCTGGTATGCATTGGGCTCATTGATGTCCCCATGCAAGCTACTTACGTAGGAAATTTAATAATTTTATGTCAGTTTTACCTTACCTAAATTGGTCAGTGACTGACCAGAACCATGCATATATTGTCTTAAACTTGTCAGTTTACTGAATGGATTTATTTAGATATTTCTGTAGCAGGACTGATTTATGCTTCTTAGTGGACAATACATAAGACTGTCATAGTGTTCTCATTGCCACATCAATTTTCACCCCACCAAACACTGCGAGAGAGGGTTTCGTAGTGTCGGTAAGAGGAGATGGTGGAATGTTGGAACTGACTGCTTTGTAAACTGAATAAACATGCCTTAAACAATGGGAAAAAGGTGCATCGATGCACTGGAATTACACTTGACAATTTACTGGCTGACCGTGTCAAACATGATGCTAAATTAAACTGAACCCTTCTGTCTGCCCTTGGTCCATATCCCTGCATCCTTGCATGTTCATGTACTTATTTAAAAGTCCCTTAAACGCCTCTATCCTATCTGCTTCTTCCACCACCCCTGGCAGCACGTTCCAGATGCCTACCACTGTGTTTTTAAAACAAAACTTGCCCCTCACATCTCCTTTGAACTTTCCCCCCTCACCTTAACTGCATACCCACTGGTATTAGGCATTTCAGCTCTGAGGAAAAAGACTGTGACTGTCAACCCTATCAGTGCATCTCATAATTTTTTATAGACGTCTATCAAGTCTTCCAGAGAAAACAATGAGTTTTCCTACCATCTCCTTATAGCTCATACAGTCAATCCAGGATGCTGCCCGATAAATCTCTTCTGTACCCTCTCCAAAGCCTCCACGTCCACTAAACACAAGACTTTAAATGTGGCCTAACCAAAGTCTTATAAAACTGCAACATGACATCCAGCCTCTTGTACTCAATTCTCCAACCAATAAAGGCAAGCATAACGTATGCCTTCTTTACCATCCTATCTACTTATGTGGCCACTTTCGGGGCGTAATGGACTTGAACCGCAAGATCTCCCTGTACATCAAGAGATGGTAGGAACTGCCGATGCTGGAGTCTGAGATAATATTCCGCTTGGGAACCCTGCAGCCCAATGGTCTCAATGTGGACTTCACAAGTTTCAAAATCTCCCCTCCCCCCGACCTCATCCCAAGACCAGCCCAGCTCGTCTGCGCCTCCTTGACCTGTCCGTCTTCCCTCCCACCTACCCGCCCCTCCCTCCCAACTGACCAACCCCCATCCCAACTCCCTGCCTACACTCCCCTGTACTGGCTCCATCCCTGCCTCCTTGACCTGTCCGTCGTCTTTCCACCTATCAGCTCCTCTATCCACCTTCCATCATCGCCTCTCCCCCTCTCTCTTTGAGTCCCCTTCCCCTCCCCCTCTCCCTTTTCTGAAGAAGGGTCCAGACCCAAAACATCAGCCTTTCTGCTCCTCTGATGCTGCCTGGCCTGCTATGTTCATCCAGTTCTACACCTTGTTATCCCTGTACATCAATGCTGTTCAGGGTTCTATCATTAACTGTACAGTTTTCCTTAACATTTAATCACCCAAAGTGCAGACCTCGCACTTGCCTGGATTAAACTCCACCTACTATTTCTCTGCCCATATCTGCAACTGCTCTAGATCCCGTTGACAATCTTCTGCCCTGTCCACAAATCCATCGATCTTTGTATCGTCAGCAAGCTTATTAACCCACCTATCTACATTTTCACTCAAGTCGTTTACATATATCAGAAACAGTACATATCCCTGCAGAACACCACTCGTCATGGACCTCCAGCCAGAAAAAACATCCTTCCACCAAAACCCTCTACTTTCTTTGGGCAGGCCAATTCTGAATCCAAGCTGCCCAGTCACCGTGGATCCCATGCATCTTAAGCTTCTGGATGAGCCTACCATGAGAGACCTTGCGAAAGCTTCACTAAAATCCATGTAGATAACATCCACTGCTCTACCCTCATCGATCACCAATCACCTTTGTCACCTCAAAATTCAATCAATTTAGTAAGACATGACCTGCCCCGAGTTGGTGTAAGACATTTGAGAGGCTCTAGTGCAAGATGGAAAGGGCACAAATTGAATTGCAGTCTGTGCTAGATGTTCCAGAAGATTTTTGCCATTATCTTTATTCCTTAATCATGCTCCTATACAGTGTCAAACATGCACTGATAACGTAACACTGATTCCTGGTAAAATTCGATGATTGTCTGCATCTTTATACTCTGCAAATAAGTTTCCAGTTGACCTGTTCTAAGAGGCATAGTAGGATTAAGGACTTTTGATGTCTTCTGTCTTTAACAGTGGAAATGTTGGCAGTAAGTAGACCTTTGGGTACATCAGTACTTGTAAGTTTCCCTGGTTGTCCGTTCTATTGATGTCGAGCATGGAAACAGACCCTTCAGTACAACTTGTCCATGCTAACCAGGTTTCCCAAACTTAAACTAGTCCCATTTGTGTGAGATGGCCTGTATACCTCTGAACCTTTTTTCTATTCATCTACCTGTCCAAATGACTTTTAAATGTTGCGACTGTACCTGCATCTAACACTTCCTGTGGCAGTTCATTCCACATACAAACCGCCCTCTGTGTGGAAACTATGACCTTTTGGTTTTGAATTCCCCTACCATAGGGAAAGGATCTTTGCAGTTCACCATTTCTATGCCCCTCTTGATTTCCTCAAACCTTTATAAGCTCACCCCTCAACCACCTATCCTCCAGGGGAAAAAAGTCCCAACCAATCCAGCCTCTCCTTAACTGTAGGGAGTCTATAGTCTAATCCAGAGATTACAACCCTAGAGATCCTGTTTTTTAACTTTCTACCTAACTCCCTCAATTCTCTTTGCACGATCTCCTCTTTGTTCTTGCCTATGTTGTTAGTATCAATATAGACCATGACCTCTGGCTGTGCCACCACTTTCAGAATGTCCTGTGCCAACTCAGAGGCATCCTTGATCCTGCCACCAGGGAGGCGCACACCATTGTGAACCCTTGTTTGCAGCCACAGAAATATCTATCTGATTCCCCTGTCTATAAGAGTCTTCTATGACTAGTGCTCCCCGAAACTTCAACTCTCCCTGCTATGCAACACAGCTATACGTGGTGCCTTTGATCTGGCTGCTGTTGTTGCCTTCCCCTGAGAGGCCATTCTGTCCCCCTCTCCAAAAAAAAACACTAGCCAAAATAGTATACTTTTTGGAGCGGGGAGTAGCCACAGGGGACTCCTGCGGTTCCTTCCTGCCTGCCTGCCTGCCTGCCCCTCCTGCTGGTCACCCATCTCTGTGGCTGAATATTTGGTGTGACCACATCACTGAATCTCCTATGTATAAAACTTTCTGCCCGCCGTATGCTTTTCAGTGAGTCCAGCTGCTGCTTCAACCAATCCATGCAGTCTGAGTGGAGCTGCGGATGGGGACACACTGCTGGCATAGTTGTCAAGGACGTTTGACTTCTCCCCAATTTACTATCTCGTACAGGAGGTGCATACCACTCCACTAGCTGCCATTTTTGGCCCTCTAGGTAACTATTGGATATAAAAGAAAAGGAAAGACACGTATTTAATGCTACTCTCCTCCTCACTGAAACCCAACACTTACCAAAGCCCACATTTCGACCTCTCAGCCTCTCTCCAAAATGGGCTTGCTAGAGCTTGCCTCCTTTTTATATGCTGCCAGTAGCAAGGAAAACCTTCTCCCAGAATTCTCTTCCATGATGCCACATGACAGCCTCTGCTGGATGCTCTTCTGCTTATTGAGCACTGGGTCTGTGTGATTTCCATGATTTTAAATGGGCCCAGAAGTTATTCCATTTCTGATGGTTGTTTCATTTTTCTATCAGTAAAACGAACAGCCATTTTTGGTTCTTTCCTTTTTCTTTCATAATCCATAAAATAAACTGTACCTTCAAACAAACTGTATCTGTATGTTAGAGATACTTTCCATAAATTTTTTTTCTTTCTCGAAGGAAAAAAGTTACTCAGACTGACAGACACTTACAACACAGTTTGAGGCAGTTCAAAAATCTGATGACAGCAATCCCATTTTCCAGAGTTTGGCCCATAGCCCTGGAGGCTATGGCAATGCAAGTAATTATCTAAATAGTGCTTAAATGTTAGGAGTTTCTGACTCAACCACCTTTTCAGGCAGAGTGTTCCACACGCTGCCCACTTGCTGGGTTGGGAAATAAAACTCCTCTGCACTTCACGTTTAACCTATTACTTTAATTCCATACTCCCTGGTTATTGACCTTTCTGGAAAAAGTGATTTTCTATACATACTTCTCAACTTGCTTAGATCTATCAGGTCCCCCTTCATCCTTTTCTGCTCAAATGGGAACAAGTCCAACCTGTTCAATTTTTCCTGAAATATCAGACCCTCCAGACGAGGCAACATCTTGGTAAATCTCCCCCACACCCCCTCTAGTGCAATGACGTCCTTCCTAAAATGTGGGTACTGAAGCGGCATTCTAGTTGTAACCTAACTGTTTTATACAGTTCTGGCATAACCTCATTGCTGTTGTATTCTGTGTGTAGGCCAATAAGCAAAAGTATTCAATAGGTCATCTTAACCAACTTAGCTAACTTCCCTGCTTCCTTTTTCAGAATCCTTGCTGATATTTCATTTTTGTAGTTTATTGTTCTTATCACTTTTGGTTTGGAACTGAGCTGAAATGTTACCTTTCGGCTGTGACCAGCAGCTTTATTTAAGAACAAACAAGCTGCTATTTGTCTTTGAGGCCAGGCCTGAAAGTTAATTAGGGGTTGTTTCTTGTTTAATGTTTAGTGCTCTAAAGATGGTTTGACTCTAGAGAAGCCTAATGCTCAAGCACATGGTAAATGTTGAATGTTGAATGTTAACTGGGGCCTCACGTGGAGTTGGTCAGTCTGGCAGTGAGGCCACAATTTGAATTAGTTTGTAGACTGTTTGGATCAGAAGGATTGTGCCAGCGAAAGCTACAGGACGGAGGTTTGATTGTTCCTTGGTTCTCCTTTCATCATCAAGTAATTGAAAGTTCAGCGAATAGAATCTCAGATATAAGAATTAAATAAATATTCCTCTGAGCCTATTGGAAGATATTTGCATGCCATGGTATCATCAGAAACCAAGCGAGATATATTTCCACATACTGATGCTGTTATGGATTATAAAGTCTGCTTAAGTGAACTGGCCTGTTAAATCTCATGAATTTTTCCCTTTTTTTGATTTAACCATTAACTGTATCTGTTTGTCTTTGTCTTTGAGTGGTTGCTAAAATCAAGGAAGATTGGGTTTAAATCGTAAACATTAATTAGATTACTTTGTTTAACTTTTCTGTGCTAAAGTTAGTGTATAATTACTAAATTAAGTCTTTTGTTTAAGCAATGAATCTGGTGTCTACTATTAATTGTTCATAACCTACTGTTTATTTGAAACCATTAGATTCTTTAAATGTTTCAATTTTAGTATATTGTGAGTATGGAGGTAAAGAGGCTGATTTGATTTGGATCTCTGTCTTTGTGTTATAACACCTTCAGGGATCTGTAGAAATGCAAATGAAGGCCCCTGTAATCTTCAATATTTTTTAGGGTACTATTATTTATAGTGTAATCCCTTGCCTGTTACCCCTCCCTATTTGCATTATCTCACAATTTTCCTGGGTTGAGTTCCATTTGCCACTACTCTACCAGTAGATCAGCTCATTGATATCCCCCTGCAGTTTATAGCTATCCTTCTCACTATTTACAACCCTATCAGAAATCATGTAATCTGCAAACCTCTTAACCATACCCACTACATTTTCAGTATAAATTATTAATGTACACTACAAACAGCAAAGGTCCTAAAACCAAGCCGTGCGGACCCCCACTGGAAACATCCAGTCACAGAAACATCCCTACAACATTTCATCATTGCCTGCCTCTCAGCCAATTTTGTATCCAAATTTCTAGTTTTTGCCATGGATCTCACGGGTTTTTGTGTTCTTGACCAGTCTACCATGAGTTACCTTGCTAAAGTCCACTTAGACTGTATGACATGCATTACCTACTTCAACACTCTTGGTTACTTCCTCAAAGAAAAATTGATCAAATTTCTCAAACAAAAACTTCCCTTAACAAATATACACTGACTATCCCTGATGAAACCTTCTCTGTCCATGTGCAGATATATTCTGTCCCTCAGTATATTTTTTTCAAAACTTCCTGACTAGCCTATTATTTCCTGATCTATTCCTTTGTTTTCAATAATGGGACAATGTTAGCAATTCTCCAATTGTTTGGCTCCTTGCAAGTGTCCAGCAAGGATTTGAAAATTACTGCTAGCTTTTAAAACTGAAGGTGGATTGGCATAATTGTTCTATCTTGATAGTTTTGGCTTTTAAATCTCTTTTGGCCACCTGCAATCTGGGCTTTGCTTCTTAACCTTGGTTTCTGAATTGGAGAAAAATGTTTTGAGCTGTTTTTAGGTGACCAAAAGGATATTTACATTACACAATAAAAACGTTGTGTAGAAAATTTCAAATAATGATTTTGTGTTTCTTTCTCCCATTTCAAAGAGGGAGCTAATTACAGAACTACTCTGGATCGAGCTGCCCAAGCAGATAGAGTGGTCAAAGAACGTTATACTACTAACAGTGAAATAATTGCTTTGCTTTGTAAACCTGAAGCTGAGCTGAATGCAGCTATACCTTCTGGCAATCCTACCAAATCTCTTCAAGGCAGTGAGGTAATGTAAGAATTGTTATTATCTCTCCATCTGTGTTTTGAAAAAAATAAATGTACCCTGAAATGGAACTGATCCTATAGAGTGCACAACCTGTTTGTGTCACAGTTTTGCCCTTCTAATTCCTTGTGTGGATAAAGCTTCACAGGTGCTTTCTGTCACTTGAGTTAAAAAGCTACTATTCCAATAAGCACTGGTGAATTAAGGAGGCCATTTAATTCTTGGACATCTGCATCACTTGGTGCTCTCTGATGAGATTCCTACTGGAGTACTGGCATTAATTTTGGAACTTCATTCTCTCCCTGGTAGGGTTGATTTAACATTGAACCCAATTAGATCTGAACCCTAACTGGCTATCTTTGAGGTTTCCAAATTTTGGGTGGTGATGGAAAATGTTGGTTTCATGTTAGTGGTACTGTAGTCCTATCTTAATCTGTGAAGCTGTCAGAGATTAGAATTTATGTTTAATTTTATCAGTGTTTACAGCACTCGTGCTCCCTTGCCACCTCAGTAGTAGGTTCCTTTCCTGAAGTATGATCGTGAACAATTTGACTTGCATCCTGTGGTGCAAACCTATATATTTCTTGTTTGTTAAGTGATAAAATCTGAACACTTTTTTTTTAAGCTCTGGCCTGACAATCGGTACTATAATACATGACTACCATTGTCTATTAGTACAGAACTTGTTCTATGATGAGATTTTTAACTCTAAAATTTGGTTGCTGTGCAGATATGATATATCTACAAACTTTCAAAACAATATTAGCTGTAGTTGTCGTTTGGTTATAGGTTTTAAAGTTGGACAATGTCATCATCCTTTTGTTTTATTTGGCAAGGTAAATGCCTGGAAATAGAACTTGCATCAGATTTTTCACCTGTGTATTTCAAATTACCGTTCTAAAGCAATGCTGCTTTGTTTATAAAAAGAGTCTAAAAATATTGAATTCTCTGACCTATTTTTAACAATTCTTTTTCTCGATCATCAGGTTGTTATGCTTTTAAAAACACTTCTTGCTTCTTTAAATGAAGTCAAGAAGGAGAGAGAAACTTTTGAGAATGATATCAAGTCGGTGCAGTTTGACATGACAAACAAGTTTCTGACAGCATTGGCTCAAGATGGTGCCATAAATGAGGAAGCTATCTCGGTGACTGAACTTGATCAAATTTATGGAAGTCACACTCAGAGGGTGCAGCAAAATCTGAAAAAGCAAGAGGAGTTGCTTGCTGATATTCAGGTAATTAATATTGCATAGTGGTATAGAATCAGTTTGCAGCATACAAAGGAGGTCATTTGTGCCATTTTCTGCAAGAGCTGTACAGTTAGTCCAACTTTCTCACCCTGCAACATGTTCAAGAGGATGAATAGCCTACCTCCTGTTCCTATTTAGAACAAACCATGGCAAACTGACTCTTAAGCTTCAGTATAAATAGCCACTTAGTTGTATAGAGCTTGAGTATTACTGAAAATAGAAGCATGCTGTTATCAGGATAGAATCGCCAGAAGACTAAATCTGAAAGAGCGTAATTTATTTATACTGCTGGAGAAGTGGGTACTGAAATATTATTTAGGGGCTTGGTAGAGGCAGTACCATGGAGAATACATCAGGGAATAGTCGAATGCCAAGCATTTGTATAAATTCAAACCAGGCAGATTGAAGTTGATTGATCAAGATATTGCTATAAGGGCTGCTGCAGGGAATGGCTGTACCCCAAGCCCTTACTTATGGTTGAAAAAGGTGCAAGAAGTATACAGGCTCTTCCTGTTTATGGAGAATTAGTTCCAGCATGTGAATGTAAGTAGGTTTTGCATGTGTGATTGAGCCATACTACAAGGCCAACCAATTATCTTAAATTGGTTGTTTGTATAATTCTTTGCACACTCTTAATTGAACAGTATTTACTCAACAGTCTCAGAATTCTATCTAATGTTAGACACTATATTCTTCAATTTTGCAAGCATGAGCTGGTTGAATATGGTCATCACTGTGCCTTGTGAACAGCCGAAAGATCTCGCCAGTTGATGCGGTTCACCAGTCACTGGGATGTGTGACCTATAAAGTTGGCATCACACTAGCACTGAAATTCATATACCATTTTATTCGCTTCTGTGGTGGGCAGAATATCTTTTTGACTTGATAGCAGCATCTTGTTAGTGGAGAATACTGCTTAATTGTTGCTTGAAACGTTAACTTAACTCATTGCTCAAACTTTGGAGACACCTTTCCCTTCCAATGTAATCTAAGGCAGATAGGCACTTTTGGGTCCACAATGATGGCTTTAGCTTATTCTTGGGTTTCATCCTAATAAGTGCAAACTGAAAAGCTTCCCTTTTGACAGCATGCCATTTTTCAATTACCAATCTAATTCTCCAAAGTAAAATAAAATGTGGAATAACTTGTAACACTTTTTAGTAAATTAACTGCATTTAATTCTTAACTACTGAAGAAAAGTTTATTCAAATATAGCATTGATGTTTAAGGTGGTCAGTTATTTCACCTCTATTCAAACTGTAAACAATAGACTTGCGAACACACTCAGGAGAGGGGTTTGAATAGACTGTTCTACTGAAACATTAAACCTGTAGGAGAATGAACTTGCTTAAGGATAACATTGCCAGTTATTACACACTTTGTTACCCTGATTATGGAAAAACTGTGACTGGATTTTTTTGTTTATTTTTATTCATTCATATTATTTACTTTTTATTCATTCATGATAAATTCCCTGTGCATCTGTTTCTTTATTCTTCTGGTAAAGATCACACGTTTGGAAAGTGCTGTTACAGGAGCATTGGCAAGTTACTGCAGTGCATCTTGTGGAAGGTGCACACTGCTTCCATCGGGCATTGGTGCTTAATGGAATGAGTGTTGACCGTAATAGATGTGTTACCAATCGTGTGGGCTGCTTTGTCCTGGATGGTGTCAAACTTAGTGTTGTTGGAGTTGCTTATGTCCTGATAAGTAAGAAGCACTCCCTCACATTCCTGACTTGTTTTGTATATGATGGGTGAGCATTAGGGAGACAGGAGGCGAGTCACTTGCTGCAGACTTCTGAGCCAGTGACCTGTTTTTGTAGATGCTGTATTTACATAACTGGCCCACTTCCGTTTTTGGATGATCGTAACCCCCAGGATATTTATAGCAGGAGATTCAGCAATGGTAGTGCCATTGAACGTCAAGGGTCAATGGCTAGATTTTCTCTTGATAGAGTTGGTAATTGATTGGCTCTTCTGTGAAATGAATATTTCTCACTTCTTGTCAGCCCAAGCCTCCATGTTGTCAAGGTTTGCTGCATATGGACACTTCAGCATCAGAGGAGTTTTAAAACGTCCCACTTTCAACCTCGTGTTAGAGGGAAGTTTGTTGAAGCAGCTCACATTGGTTCGTCCTGGGACACCACCCTGAGGAATTCCCACAGTGATTTCTTGTGACTGAGGTGATTGGCTTCTAACTACCACCATGGTCTTCCTTTGTGCTAGATATGACTGAAAGCAAAGTACAGCTCCTCTTTTCCTTTCAGAACCCCTAATTCCCATTGACTCAAATTTTGTTTGGTTCATTGATGCCAGCCTTGGCCATATGCTGCCTTGAGGTCAAGTACAGTCTTTTGGCCAAAACATTTCTTTTAAAAAAAATTCCGAATCTGATTGGTCCCATTGGAAACTAATCCAAGTATCCGTGAGCACATTATTCCTTTGCAAGTGCCACTTGATAGCACTTTCAAAGACCCCTTCCAGAATAAAAGGCAAACCTTGTGCGAGAAGCAACATTTTTTCTTCTGTTTTTAAATTTATCACAATGTGTTTCTGATCTTGGATAGCCAGGAACCTATTGGTATTTGTTATTTGGGATATCATAAAGATGACTCTGGCAATGTAGTGCGACTGTACTTAACATTTGTAAGTGGCACATTTGATTTTCTTCTTCATGTTGCTAATTTAACAATGGAGCAAATCTTCTGGCCTCTGGATTATCTGAGTGCAGATGTACACTAAAAATGCATTTGGACCCCACGGACAACGTGACTGATGTGGGAAATGACACCAAGTTGAAGCTTCTTGAGGAAAATTTCTCTACCCACTGGACTGTCTGTCGAAGTATTTTGGACAGTTCTGCAGTAATTATCTGGAAATCTTAAATGGATTAAACCTAACTGACACTTGAATAACGTCACCATCGACTCACCTAGCCCCACCATCACCTTGACTCTTCTCACCAGTCTGTTCCAATATAATGACACATCCTACCAAAATCTGACTGCCCAAGCTCTGTTCCCTGACTCAAGAAACCGTTTAAGTCCAACTGGCCTGGCTTGAGTACCTCTTCCAAACACGCAACTAGCCCTTTTGATCGGACCCATTTAGTCCCCCTGATTTGATCTGACCTGACTACCATGCTTGTCCGGTATGTCAAACGCCCTCATATGACTAATTCACACATCACTCTGGGCCGTATGTGATGTAAAACTTATTGAACTCGCTTACACTACCTGCCTCACTTCCCTACGTGCCCAACAAGCTCGCTCGCACATTTACTCACATTCAAAGACTGGACCTTTAAACTTGTGTAGATGCGACCGTATCCTGTCTTTCCCCAACTCTACTCTGCTCCATTGGAGTTCCCAAAGGGTGTTGGAGATATCTATGAAACCAGGATTGAAAGAATCTTGGAAGAAGTCTATAGCAGTGTCATATCATGGAACTTTTACAAGCATAATGAGCAAACCCGTGTAATTGCCACTGCAATATCTGGCTAGGTTGAGATGCCAAATGAAAGCTACATAATTGTTTGTGATGAGTAAGGAAAATCAGGATTCTACATGAGAAGCTCTTGAGCTTATTGCCGGTAATGTAGTAGTGTTCCCAGAAAATGGGTGAATCTGCCTATCGTTGTACATCACCTAGGTAAATGGGAAGAAAGAAGTTGGCTCTGAATTGAAGGTCAATTTACTGGCCTCTTAGTTAAATGTAACTGTATAGTGTAAGTCTGTTTCAAGTGGAATGTAGAAGCAAATAATCTGAAACAACTGATTACATATGACGAGAACAATGGAGGCTGAATCGTCGAGTATATTCAAGGCTGGATTAAACACATTTTTGATCTAAAAGGGAATCTAAGATTATGATCGTAAATTTAGTAGGACACCAGAATTAGATGAATAGCAACCAACAACGTCAAGGAAGAAAGGGTGGATGTACTGGAATTGGTTTTGTGATCTGGTTTTGGCTGTGGGGATGGTACCAAAGAACTGGAGAATTGTAAATGTTCCAGGCTTGTTCAAGAGAGGTGTAAGGCTCAGCTGCAACTAAGTCAGTCTAAACTCTGATGGAAAAGCTTTTTGAGATGGTAATTTGGATCCATATTTTTAGTCACTTGGGCAAATGAGTGAATTGAAGGCGGCTAGTATGGCTTTGTTACAGTTAAATCATGTTTAACCAACTTAATTTGTTAAAGTGGCAGCAAGGAAGGATCAGGTCAGTCCATTTGATAGGGTCCTGCATAAGAGACTTGTAAATGAAGTTAGAACTTGGTAGCATGCAGGACGCAATATTAATGTAGATGGGGTGGGGAGGGGGGGGTGGTTTGGTTGAGTGATAGGAAGTATAAAAGATGAAGGAACTTTTATGGTGCAGTTCCCTGAGGGTCATTGCTAATTCCCCTGCTCCATGTTGTGTATTGATTGCCTATGCTTTCTACAAGGCTCAGTTTCAGAATTTGTGCATATTCCAAGACTTGGAGGTATTGTGAACTGAGAGAGTAAGATATGGACGGGTTGCTGAGAAAGGCAGACTAATGATGGAGGTGGTTTGATGCAGAGAGGTGTGAAATTATTCATTTCAGCAGGATGAATTTGGAGAGGCAATATAAAATAAAAAGCTGCAACCTAAGAGGGGGTGCAGGAGCAAATGGACCTGAGGTTCCGATCATTCAAGTTGGCAAGGGAAGTTGTGAGCACAATTAAAAGTGCATATGAGATTCTGGATTTATTGGGTGAGATATGGAGTGCAGGAGCAATGAAGTTGTAATAAGCCTGTATAAAATATTTGTTTGGTCTTGATTAGAGTGTTGCATTCATTTCCAGACACGAAGAAACAGAGGAGATTCCTAAGTGTGGTTTTGGGAATGAGGAAATTCAATGCAATTGGAGAAGTTGGGGTTCCTGTTCGGAAAAGAGGTAGTTGAGGGCTTATTTGACAGAGGTGTTCACAGTTGTGAGTGACCTCGACTGATTTGGATGAGAAGGAATTACTCCTCCTTGGAGGAGTAGAAAATTGGAAGATAGCAATTTGAAGTGGTTGGTAAAAGAAATAATAGAAATGTGAGGCTTTTTAAAAATGTGCTGAATAGTTCGGATGTGGAATTTACCGTCCGAGCGGTGGAGGCAGATTCAGTCACTCTTTTCAAAAGAGTATGTGGTCATTTTCTGAAGAGGAATAATTTGTATTGCTGTGGAGAAAAGTTGTGGGAGTGGCGCTTGATGAGGTGTTCTTGCAGAGAGCCAGCGCAAGAAAACTGAAGGACCTCCTTTTTGTTTTGAACTAATTTTGCATCTATGAAGATCTGAAATAAAAGTGAATGTAAAGCTTGTCAGATTGCATCTGAAAGGCAAGACATGTATAGGGCTCTCCAGCTGTTGTAAAAGAATTGTTAAATAGTGTGAGGGTAATAGTGTCAGTATTCTGTACGGTGTGCATTGAAATTAACTGCAGGTCTGTTTGAATGGGCCCAGAGCTTTTAAATTTGGTTTGAAATGCTAAGAGTTGCATTGCTTGTGTCAGATTAAGTTGATTCTTTCCAAGGAGAGAATCCAGGTGGCACAGTGGTTGATAGTTTAGAATATCCTTTTTTGTCAGGTGTACTCTATTGTAGAAGTACAGTGAAAAGCTTTTACAATGTCTGCTTCTTATGGTGCCATCTTAGGTACAAGTACCTAGGTACAAATATGGATACAAAAGGGGAATAAAAAGTAAGTTAGAAATAAGACATTGCTAAAGGATTGACATCAGTAGGTTTAAAAAAAAATCCAAATAAGCATTATATTGCAGCAGCTCAGTGCAGAGTCTCAACACATGGTCTGACCACCCATGCCAGACCCCCCAATCCAACAGCCATCCCTGCTCTGTATTCAGCTCCAAGATAGGCTCCAGGATTGACTGCTCCCGCGCTGGACTATACCCATGACTTGCTGCTCGTGCCTGCCGCTGCTCCAGGATTCGCCTCTGGGGCTAAGGGGAGAGAAAAAGAGAGGAGAAAAGAACAGACAGAGCAGAGGAGTTCTGGCAGGAGCATCTTACTCTGCTGCCATCTTGTTCGGTATCTTGTTCTGCTAACATGGTCGCTTTGCTGTGCCAGGGACCTGGGTTCAGTTTCAGTCTTGCTGTGAATTAGTTGATGGCGACTGTTTGTTTTATTTGCTTGTTAATAACGTGTTAAAAGTAAATAGCATAGGTTCAGCTTGCAATTTTTTCCTAGCACTTCATATTATTATAAGTAGTGTTTTATGCATTTGCTAGAGATAAGCTAGGCTTTCCCTCATATTGGTAGTATTGCATCTGATTTTTGAGTTTATTTATAGCAAAGAAAAATCAGTTCCACGAGTCATCTCAGCCGCCAAATTACGATATTATAAATATTTATTTTACAGGTGCTTAACTAATGAATTGCTTGTCTTCGCTTTCATAGTATTCTTTAGATTGATACTGAGTTGACATTTTCTGACCAATAACTTGGAACAAATAACTTGAATCTTGAGTCTGTTCTGTCTAGGCTGCTCATGAGGAATTTTCGAAGTCGAAACAGTCAAACACAGATGCTAATCAGAGGGAAGAAATGCTCAAGAAGTTAGCAGCGGGCCATGATCAGTTTGTTGAACTTGTTAATAACTTGAAAGAAGGAACAAAGGTGAGATTTTTGATATTTTATTGGCTTAACATTTTCACCTATTTCATTCTCTTATGATGGTCATTAAACATCTCACACTGCACTGCATAGTTTTAAAATTTTAAAAAGATCAGCTTTTGAATGTGTAAAATATTTTAAAGTTTTCAGTTCAAATTTTTCAGTGATGATTTAACACAGCCTTAAGTGGAAAATTTACCTTGTACCATGACTCATTTTTCAACTTTTGCTGTAAAATGTAAGACTGTCTTGTATAGCAAATTGTCCAAAAGTGAAGGTAAATGTTTATAAAAGGTATTTAAAGTTTGAAGGTGCCAGATTTCAAAAAACTGTCTCAAAGAAATATGGCTACAAACAAAAGCGGAATTTGTGCAGTTGTGATAGTGCCTTTCAGAAGACCACCATTTGTTGGTAGCGTAAAGGAGTGTCAAAAGAGCTGGAGGAATCAGACACACTCAATTGAGTTCTCAAGCACTGCATTATCTTTAAACTTGAACACCAAATGCTGAAGTACTGAACAATTTGAGGCAGCATCTATTCGATCACTTCAAAGGAACAATTTTATCAGAAATCATGCATAAGTAGGGATCCTCATTGACATGAGTGGCAGAATGAAGGGAGCAGCGTTTTCTTTTAACTAGTATCAATTGCAGAATTCAATGACAGAACTGTTGGTATAAAGACCCCACCTCTCTTCCCATTGAAATAGCTAGAATATAATTAGAGTTTAATCTGTTGATTATCTTTTGGATTTTTCTGGTTTTATATATGTACAGCAGGGGATAGCTGTCAGTGAATTCATAGCAATAACATTGGTATGATGAAATTGGAGCAGTATATTGTCATACTAATTTATACAAATATCTCTCCTTTGTAGTTTTACAATGGAATCACTGAATTTCTCCTGAAATTCCAAACAAAATGTACTGATATTGTGTTTGCTCGTAAAACCGAAAGAGATGAACTTTTGAAGTAAGTGCATGTTTTCTATTTGTCTACAGTATTCTTGGCCATTTTAGGTGATGTTTATTTTTTACATTTATTCTTGTGATATTTTTGCTGTTCAGTAATTAATTATTGCAGTGTGGTAATCTGGTTTCATTTGGCCTTGCAAACATATTATAATTGTCAGTCCAGGGAGTCAAATTGTTTTGTTTAGTGCTCCTTCAAGCAATGCTATGCAGGCCTGTGTCAGTTTGCTAGAAGCACTGTGGTCTTCAGTGATATCTATGAAGAGTGCTGCATGGACTGTAGCGTTAACCCGTGGCATTATTTATTTGTCCCTGAAACTCTGCATAGCAGCAGTATACAAATGGATTTCTCCCCTCCAGTATTCCAACCATTGTCCAAGTGCTGCAGTCAAATCTATGACTAAAGTTTAAGATAACCTGTGTATTTCACATACACTTAAGAGTAAACACCTTGATCAAACAGGAAACTCGGAGAAAGGTGCATAACTATAGTTTTCAGTAATACTTTAAAGGAAATGGGTAGTCAAGGATAACATGGACTATTTTAAAAGCAGATGGGGATAATACTACACATGAAAATCGGACATGGCAGACGAGAGAAAATATTACACATGATATCCTAGAGAAGTGTCCAGTGTATGAAGGAATGGAGCTCACTAAGTTTAAAATAACAGTTATGTTAGTTTTTAGTACCTTTTTTATTTCTGACTAAATCACAGGACTTGATGGTTTTCACTCAAAGTTTTGAAGAAAACAAGTCAGAAAATTGTAGATTCTTTAAGCTGCAATCGTCTAAAGCAGGGATAGTAGGAACTGCAGATGCTAGAGAATCTGAGATAACAAGGTGTAGAGCTGGATGAACGCAGCAGGCCAAGCAGCA